TAAATGTGGAAGTGTTAAGGTAATCGGTCTGGCATTAGCGCAGAGATTCAAAGGCGGTGGTCCTCTTTGGTTTTGGTGAATTGCCATTTTTAGAAATTCCTTTCTCTTGCGCGTCACATCTCGAATTTTGCGGGAATGAGTTCGGACATTGACTGCAAGCGGATGCCGAAGTGGCTGAATCACTTAATTTTGATGAAGAACTTTGTGTGTTCAGAAATAAGATGCTTATGTTTTTCAGCTCTTTAGTTTGCTAGTAACGCCTTGTGAATTGTCCGTTTGCCAATGTCATTTTGTTTTCTCAACTTCTAATACAAAAGCAAGTCATGTGAGTCCGTACCAAAGCTCTCAAAAGAATGTGTTGCAAAGTTTCTGTAGTGAAGATCGAGAATTGTTATCCGATTTTAGCTTTTTTTAGGGTACAGCATCGCAGAGGCTTCGAGCCCCTCAATGCCCTGTGATGCGCCGGGCTCGTTTAGTTAACACAACGATTGTAAGATAGGACTATGAGGTGATCCCAGCCCATGACTCTCAAAAGTTTAGGCTGTCCTCTGTCAGCAGCGTCTAGATGTAGTAAAGATCTTTTCCTTACACCCTTATTCGAAAACAATTTGACATTTCCTTTGAGCTTGCCCTAAATTTGTTCTCAATTATAGGCGTTGAATGCCATAAATCCGTTTCTTTTCACATTCGCTACTTTGACCGGCCATGTGGTTCGCGCCTACAAATGCTATACCGTAAGTCTACCCATTCAATGAGTCGGATCCGCCCCTACTTATGCACACTCGCTTAACAAAGTTCGTATTTTTGTTACAGGCTGTAATGGACAACGGTCCAGCGCGCAAGCACAATGTCGCAAGGGACCTCCAGAGGGCGGGTGATCAAATCTCTGATATGGTTGAGGTGCTAATGCAATATCTTTTGATTGATGTCGAAAAATCATGAAAGAACTGTAACTGTGCTGTATCAATGCAGGTGTCAACGTTACGCCGAGAGGACTACGAGGTCGTTAAAGGCCATACTGAGTATGAGGACCTCCTTCAGTGCAACAACCTTCCGAGTTCTGAGACTCCTCGCGGGCACCAGTTTCCTGCGGCCTTTATGATTATCGCTAGTGGCTTGGACGAGGTCATCTCCTCCTTTCTCCCCATAGATAAAGATTTGATATTTTTTCCCATATTCCTAATCTGAAAGGTGACATGTTTGACTCTCCTATTAGCGAAATTCTTCATTACTTTATCCATCCACCTTGGGGTTGACTTATTTTTAATATGCTCTTCCGTATAGCACGGCTTGGGATGCGACAAGAAGCAGTTGCCGTACACGCATCTGGACATCGCGGGCAGCGCTGGTCTCATCGACACTCTAGCGACGGGTTCACCGTTGATGATGTTTACCAGCATGTACGTCCTCCCTCGTCTCTGAGAGCAGTCACCTGTTTAGTCACCAATCTGTGGCACACTAATGAAGTCTAAAGGCCTTTTAAACTGTTCGATATTTTAAATGTCTCAATTTTACCCTTTCTAATCTCTACCACTGGTTGAGGTACTCCACCAACTTGTTTTGTTCCTTTACGAATTTACGGATTT